TGTATTCAGTCTCCACTGTCAAGAAGATGACTGGTGCATTCAGAGCTAATGACAATCGCATCAACCAGGGCAGTAAAACCACATCTTTGGCATTTACTTATTCAGATATAACCACGATTCTATAGACACAATTCTATAACCACCATTCTACATACCATTTCAGTGCTTCCACATGTTAGAATTTCATGTTCTAAAGGAATATTCATTCTTTGTCACATTATTTCAGTTTATGTGCATGCATGTGTGATTGTGCATACATATCCATGAGATTGAGTCCTTTTTTCTTTTTAAAATGATGGATGATTGATTCTCAAGGAGATACTGAGTGTGTTCTGATTACCATTGTGTCATACACTGAATAGTATACTTTACCACTGAAAAGTACTGAGTTCGGACACGTGGCATAGTGATAAACTCATAGTTTATTAACTCACTGGAAATTAGAAGACAAACTAGCCGGTCTGTGGCCGGCTTTTATCCGTGCACACACACACTCAAAACACACACCCCACTCCCCGTGGTAGACTCTATTTACACTACCTAGTCCCCATAGGTACATACCAGGATCCACGCGAGCCCATTGGTCCACATTAGGATCCTACCTGTCTATTGTTTCTAGACCCGAAAGTCTGTTTGACCACATGGCCAGGCTAACGCTGGCGAGGCTATCTTAATACATAACAACCACCTAGTTGCATCACATGTGTGGCAAAATCCTCCTGACCACTTGGATGATATTGATGGCTAAGTTACCCAGGAATAAGTGAAAATCTGTAGATTGTGATATCCCATTTTAACAGTTTTTGCTTTTTCTATTTTATAATGGTAATTATTCCCAACATTCCATGCACTACAAATGGCTCTGGGCTATTACCACCACTCTGCAAGCATGCCACCCAAAGCATAGGAATGCTGCCACAACTTTTAGGATGTGAGTAGCTAATAATGGAAATCCATGTTAGAAAAAAATATTATTTCAATGGAAACCAGCATGACAGTGCATTTCTGTTAGCAAAGGGAACTCCTCATCTGACTTATGTGTGTAAACAAGAAATAAAAACAAAACCCTCAATTTATATTAAAATGCAAGAAACAAGCAATACTTATACATACAGAAGAATAAAGGCCAAATATGCCAAGCTGTCTTGGGAATATGAATCTGCCTTAATTTGCACATCATAATAGGCTCTGTTAAAAAAAAACAACACTTGCCTTCAGGCTGATATTTTCATCATTACTCATTTGTTTGAATTCATATTTTATTTATATGTTGCATTTATTTCTTGTGGAGGAACCTCTGCAATGGAATCCAGCAATTAGAATATGCACAAATTAATCTGTTTCTCACAGATGCCCACTTTAAATCACTGAACTATAAGGCCTGTCAAAATATTTAATTAAAGGCCAGAGAAATCAAATAAATTGTTTGCACTTTGGTATGCAGCTCCAGGAATGTTGACGGTTTCTGTTGATTATTCTGAGCATTAGTTGTGGGAAATCCCTATAACACAACAGGGCAGAAGAAAAATACTTTCAATGCTGTCTAGGGGGAAAATATTTGACTGATTTCCCACAAGCGCTGCTCCGCGCTCACGCCTCCCTTTTGCCCCAATGCCACGTGTCAATTTCACACAAGCTGCTGCGTGGCCGCATTTCGCCCCGGAGCTTCACACGATTTCCCCCACGTCTACTCAATCCTCAAAAAACAAGACTGAGTAGACGCGGGAAAAATCGCGCGAAGCTCTGGGGCGAAATGCGGCCACGCAGCAGCTTGTGTGAAATTGACACGTGGCATTGGGGCAAAAGGGAGGAGTGAGCGTGGAGCAGCACTTGTGGGAAATCACCCATTTATTTTATTTTATTTTTAAATTGCCAAAATAGCTCAGAGGGGGAGTGAAAGGTCTGAATATTTTAAATGACTCTCTGTTAAAGTTACTGCACTGTACTTTTTGCCTACTCTGTTAGAAAGAAATGTCCCTGGTGTCCTTTGAACCATGATCCAGTTGACATTTGAACTGAAGCCATGGGAAGTTTTTCTGCACTGATGGGGATTTATTCACTAAGGATATTATAAAATTGTTGCACAATCCTGGGCTCAGAAATGCCACCTAGGCAGAGATTCCCTCTTGATGAGACTCTTATGTCCAGACTCAAACACTGCAAAAAGAGATCACATGATTCATCAGCTATATAGGGTGGTCACGGCTCTCAGAATTTCTCTCTAGTGTCCTGGTGGAAGAAGGGGGGGATTGTTCTTCACGTAGTCCTGGTGGAGGAAGGGGGGGATTGTTCTTCACGTAGTCCTGGTGGAGGAAGGGGGGATGAGTTTGTCTTTGCCTCTGTCACATTGTGGGCAAGAGTAACCACTGACCCCCTCTAGTTGCCACCACTACTTTGAGTAAAATCTAGCCCCATTGTTGGGTAGCCCCACCATGTTCTTTTATTATTATTATTCTCCTGTATCTGGAATGTGTGTTGCTCTGCAGCTGCGTTTCATTTTTGCTCCTTATCTGCCCGATGGCTTTGAGCGCTCATCACTCTGGAGTGAAGCCTCTGGTTCTCCTGCTCACCCCTGAACCATTAAACAGCTCCCCGTGCTCTATACTAATTGCTTATTGGGCCCTAGGTGTCAGGGGGTATTGTATGAACCCACTACAATTGCTATTGCCATTTTCTATGTCTCATTCCTGACTCAAAGAGTCTAAGCCGACTTCACCTTACTCTGGTCAATAAAGCTGAATCTGTTTAAGGACCTGCTGTTGAACTGAGTTATTGGAGTACCTGACAGAGAGTCAGGAATCTATCTCTCCTCTACCCATATAATTGCCACAATGAGTGGTGAAGAAAAAGAGCAACGTAATCCAGAGGAAGCTGCTGTACCATTGACTACTGCACCTGTCACCACAGCCGCACCAGTCACCACCACGCCGGTGACTATGGTTCCTATGACAATGCTGCCCCTGCAGGTCCCAGTATCGCTGAGTCTGGGGCTGGGAGCGACAGGAGGGCTCCTCCGTTAGAGACAGAGGGAACCCATGGGATTTGAGTGGTCCACATTCAATATGACCATGCAAGAGTCCTGGACACTAACTTCCGGACCGGTGAGAGGAAGCCGGTATGAGTACCAACTGGGCCCCGAGATGGAGGCATGTACTTGCCGCAAAGAGGAAAAGAAGGGTTGGGAGGAACGCCTCGCCCGGATGGAGCAGGCTCAGAATCAGATGCTCCAGGTGGTGGAAGATGCCCTGATGGGAATTCCAGGCATGGTGGCACAGTTGGTGCAAGCAGAGATGTGCCTGCAGCAGCAGCAAGTACCGGCTCAGCTGCCACCGCCACCTCTTCCCCCCCCCAAACCAACCCGTGCTGGCCTAGGCTCCAGTGGGACCTGCTCCAGAATCCAGGATGCTCATCATTCTCCCAAAGGGGCTACTTGATGACAGGTTTGATGGTACCCCAGAGAAACTGGCCTTTTTTGTAGTACAAGTGGAGAAGATCATCCAGACATGGGGCCACCTGTTCCCTACCGATGCCCGGGGAGTGGACTATATAGCGGCCCAGATCAGGGGGGCCTGTGGATTGGTATGTGAGTCTGCACAACACCAGGGGTCCTGAACTACAGGAAGTGGCTGTGTTCATGTGAGCCCTGAGAGCGAACACTGGAAGGCAAGTGCGCCCAGAACCACCTGTGCACTTTGAAGCAAGGCAGACACACGGTTCGAGAGTACACCAAAGAGTTCAAGAGGTATGCGACTAAAGTGTAGGGGTAGCCAGATGGTGTGCTTGCGGAGCAATACCAGGTGGGGCTCCACCCCGAAACCCATGAGACCATATTACGGAGCATGTGCCCCATCTCCTACAATGCATGGGTGTGAGAGGCTGCCAATACAGAGGCTCGGCTCCAGATGATCAAGATAGATGGGCCTGCCCAGGTATCACAGGTGGGACCTGCTGGCGCAAAGCCAAAAACCCCAAAACTGAAAGAAAGCACCTGAAAAATGTGCATGAAGCAAGGGCTGTGCCTCCGTTGTGGAGAGACTGGGCATTTCACTGCCAATTGCCCAGGGGCCGTGAGAGTGTCAGCTCTGGTTAAAGACATTGGGAAGAAGAAACCGGATACTCCATTCAAGAAGGGGACCACGAAAGCCAAAGTGCAACGAGCCCTTCAGTGAGGAAGACGAGCCAGTGGGAAAAGGCTGGGACCTGCTGTAAGTGGCAGTGAGCAGCAGGTCCAATATTCCCCCACGCCATGTATGGTGAGCAATTACCCCCCTATTTTTCATTACTGTGACTGTAATGAATCAGGACCTGGGCACTCATGTACGTGCGAGAGCCCTTATTGACTCAGGGTGCGCCAGAGACCTGATAAACCCCTTGTTGGTAACAGGGTTGGGAGCCCCAGTGGAAAAGTTGGTGGACTCCATAGTGTTCATGGAGATGGACAGTTCTTCCATGATGGAGTCGTGTAAATACCAGACAGGCCCCTTCCGAATGGGAGCGGGGGACCATTGGGAGCACCAACCCTTTTTTATCACCCCTGCTGTGAGGTTCCCGTTGCTGCTGGGGAGCCCCTGGTTGCATGATCACGGCCCATATATTTTTGGGGATGAAGGGAAGGTACATTTAATCTCCCCCTAGTGTCAGAACCATGGCTGGGATCCCAATTGGGGCCCTACTCCTCCTGATGAGCTGGTATGGGCATGCCTGGCAACAGAGGAGATACGGGCCATCCCCCCCCCACTTATCGAGACTTGGCCAGGGTGTTTGAGGAGGAGGAGGCTGATGAGTTACCCCCACACTGTAACACGGACTGTGCCATTGAGCTACTACCCAGCCAAAAGTTACCCAAGGGTAAGCTCTATGCCAGAAGCCCCTCGGAGAAGGAGGAGCTGAGGTGGTTTATTGATAAAAACTTGGCACGGGGTTTCATACACCCCGCCTTTTCCCCGTTTGCTGCACCTGGTTTGTTCTGGAAAAAGAAGGATGGGGGTCTCCACCTTTGCATGGATTACAGAGGTCTGAATGCCATCTCGGTCACGAGCACTTACCCCCTCCCCTTAATAAAGGATCTCCTGGCTGAGGCAGTGAAAGGAAAAGTTTTTTCCAAACTGGATCTGAGGGATGCATACTTCCAGGTGCACATAAGGAAGGGGGATGAGTATAAGACTGCTTTCAACACCCCGCTGGGGCAGTTTGAATATCGAGTCATGCTGTTTGGTCCTCCGGGGGCCCCTGGGGTGTTCATGAACCTTATCAATGAAGTGCTGCACAAGCACCTGTTCAGGGGTGCCCTTGTTTACTTGCATGATGCCTTACTGTATTCCCCAGATGAACAATCACACATTAAACTGGTGAGGGAAGTACTTCAGATTCTTTACAAACATAAGCTGTTTGCCAAGCTGTCCAAATATGAATTCCACAAGGAGGAAATAGACTTTCTGGGCTACCGCATATTTCCCAGGGGTTTGGAGATGGACCCAGCGAAAGTGTGGGATGTCTTGGGGTAGGAAGCCCCCTGCACTAGGAGGCAACTCCAATCCTTCCTTGGATTTTCAAATTTCTATCGAAATTTCATTGCAAATTTTGCCCAGGTCAGCCTTCTCCTAACTGATTTGCTTAAAATGAAAGGAAAAGGTCTAGAGAGCACCAAGCCCAGTGCCCAGCTGGCATGGAACTCCGAATGTCAGGTGGCTTTTGACAATGGGAAGTCCTTATTTACCTCTGAACCGGTGTTGGCCCATCCAAATGAAAACAAAAAGTTCATTGTGCAAGTGGACATGTTGGATGTGGCCATGGGAGGGGCTATCCTGCAAGAGGGGGAAGATGGTAAACTGCACCCCTTAGCTTATGTCTCATGAAAGTTTAATGTCACCAAGTGCAATTGGGCTGTTTGGGACAAGGAGGCTGGAGCCATCCGGCTCGCCCTGTCTACTTGGAGACATTGGTTGGAGGGGGGGAGGGGGCCGTTTGAGGTTTGGACTGATCATAAAAACCTCAAGGTTCTCCGCATGCCATGCAACCTGAATGCCAAACTGCTGGGGTGGGCTGATTTTTTTTTTAAGTTTCAATTCACACTGCACCACTTCCTGGGAAAGGCAAACTTCCTAGCTGACACCCTTTCATGCCTCCCACAACACGACAGCCAAAGGGAGGGAGTGGTGGACTCAATGTTCACTCCCGCCCAACTGGGTGGGGCAGTTGTCACACATAGTAAGGCGAAGGGGACGCTGGAGGGAAGGACTGGTCCACCGAATTTGCCTCCATCTTTTCTGACTCTGATCGCTTGGAGATTGAACTGGATGGGGGTCTAGAAAAGAGGCAAGATGGTTGCTGGTATAAGGACCATCACCTCTTCGTTCCTAAGACCCTGTACAGCCAGGTGATGGCGACAGCCCATGGATCTTAACTGGCGGGTCATCTTGGCTATCTAAAGACATCTCATCTTTTACAAAGACAACTTTGGTGGGTGGGCATGTGAAAAGACATCTCTTTATACATACAGTCCTGTCCCACTTGTCTCATGAGTAAACCCCGCCCAGGTAAGCCTCTAGGACTGTTGCAACCCTTGCCCGCTTGAGGGAGTTTGTGTCTATGGACTTCATCACTGACTTACCCTTTAGTGGCGGGGGGGAAATGGCTATCTGGATGGTTGTGGACATCTGAAGCAGTTGCCTACTGTCAAATGGTTGGCCAAGTTGTTTATGCATAACATTGTCAAACTCCATTCATTCCCAAAGAAGGTGGTCAGACAGTGGGGCTCAATTTGTGGCTAAGTTCTGGGGTGAATTGCTGAAGTCCCTGGGAATTGAGCGGGCCCTAAGCTGTGCCTACCACCTATAAACTGACAGCCAAACCAAACGGGTTAATCAAACCCTTAAACAATTCTTCGTTGTTTCACTAATTTTTAACAGGATGACTGGACTGAGTTGCTACCTTACGCAGAATATTGTTATAACAATGCCATGCATTCATCAACTGGGGTCTCCCACTTTCAGGTGGTCCATGGCTACAAAGGTTCTCCACTTCCCTGGTTGTCTATGGACACTCCAGGGGAGGGGGACATTGAGGACTGGTGGCGCCGAGTTAAAGATGCCTGGCTGCTATTACAACAGACTTTGAACAAAGCCAAGGTTGACTATAAAGCTCAGGTACACCGTAAACGTCTCCCGGCTTGGGAGGTGCAGGTTTGGGACAAGGTGTATGTCTCCACCAAGATTTGAGGCTTTTACAACCCAGCCATAAACTGGGTTGGAAATTCATTGGTCCTTTTGCTGTACTAAGGAAAATCAATGATGTCACTGTTGAACTGGACCTGCCTAAGTCATTTAAACATCTTCATCCTGTGTTTCACTTTTCTCTCCTCAGGAAAGATCCAGGCCCAAATGTTTGGTGCCCAGCCCGGACCCAACCCCCCCCCCCAACCTCATGCTGGCAGATGGTCAACCGCATTTTGAAGTTGCCCAGATCTTGGACTCTCGCTTTAAACATGACCACTTGTATTATCTGGTTGAATGGCTTGATTTTGGCCCTGAACACAGGGAATGGGTTAAAGCCTCTGATGTATGGGCTCCTCGCTTGGTCTGCCTCTTCTATTCTTGCATCCCTGGCAAGCCAGGGGGGTTTGGGGGGGGGATGTCAGGTAGCACCGCCATGGGTTTTTTATTCTCATGTTTCTGGAATGTGTGTTGCTCTGCAGCTGCGTTTTGCTTTTGTTCCTTATCTGCCCAATGGCCTTGAGCGCTAATTGCTTTGGTGCAGAGCCTCTGGTTCTCCCGCTCACCCCTGAACTGTTAAACAGTTTCCTGTACTCTATACTAATTGCTTATTGGCCCCTAGGTGTCAGGGGGTATTGTATGAACCCACTATAATTGCTATGGCCATTTTGTATGTCTCATTCCTGACTCAAAGAGTCTAAGCCGACTTCACCTTACTCTGGTCAATAAAGCTGAACCTGTTTAAGGACCTGCTGTTGAACTGAGTTATTGGAGTACCTGACACCCTCTCTCTCTAGCATGGTTGCCCCAAGTCAACCCCATAAGAAGATTGTTCAGTAGTATGCTAAGTGAGAGTGAGGAAAAACATCCATGCATAACAGGCCCAAGAAGGAGCCACGAAGGAAAACCAAAAAGAAGCCAAAAAGGAAGACCCAAGCAAAGGGTCAGCTCCTCTTTTCATATCCCATCCCTACATGTGTTCTGGGGTCTTCAGCCAATCTGGGTGCTATGCTTTGGGTCTCCAGCCCACCAAACCTGCACCCTCCAATTATGAGCTGCGGTGGCTCAAGTGATTAAGATGCTGAACTGCAGGCTGTGGAAGGTCGGTAGCTCAGCAGTTCGAGACACAGGTGCCACATGACGGAGTGAGCTCCCGTCTCTAGTTCCAGCTCCTGCCAACCTAGCAGTTCGAAAGCAAGAAATTGCAAGTAGATAAATAAGGAAGATGGGAAGGTAACAGCGTTCTGTGCGCCTTGGTGTTTAGTCATGCCGGCCACATGACCACGGAAAATGTCTTCGGACAGCGCTGGCTCTTCGGCTTTGAAACGGAGATGAGCACCACAACCCTAGAGTCGGATTCGACTGGCTTTCGAGCAAGGGAACCTTTACCTTTACCTTTAACACTTCAAAGGGCTGGTGTGTTATCTCTCTCAGCTGAAAAGGATGCCCTGTTCTGGCAAAGAGCACCTTTCTCCTTCTTTCTAGCCATGAAGACACCTGGACCTCTTTCCATCAGCATAGCTGTCAAGGCATTCCCTCCCCCCCACCACCACCTTTCCTTTCACTGCAGAGTCACAGTGAAATGATCCCAGTCTTCAAAGGAAGGATCCATGTGACAGTGGCTTCTGTATTAGTGATTATTGGGTCTTCAAAGGACTATGGAAAGAAACAAATGCTCATGGCACATATTCAGGCAATAAGCCAGGCAAATATGCTCTTTCCTTTTCTAAACAGTGTGTTCTTATCATGTTGCCTTTTGGCTGAGAAGTTAGCATCCATTTGAAAAAGAAACTGTCAGCAACATGCATAAAGACCTCTTTCTTCCCCCAAGTGTTTTCATATTGCTCTTTGTACAAAAACCACAAGAACTTGAGTGTTGACCATTGAAGAGAGGAAAAATAGATGTCATTAACAGGTTAGATGCTAAACAATTTAATTTGTCCTTTTCAATATTTATCAGCATAAATCATCTCTCAATTGCTCACAGGGAAAAAAATAGCTCAGCTGTAGCACATTGACAAATGAGGGTAAGGCTGTGTGTGACTCTTTGGAAATGCTGCAGCTCTTAATTCCAGCATGACGCAAGATGCAGCCAATGCTGTGACATGAAATGTATGTGGATGTTATACCACATTGTTGAAGAAGACATAGAATACATACCCTAAAAGGAACAACGGGGGGAATCTATGACTCTTAACAACATTAACAAATATGAAAATATGCATGTTATTTTATTTACCGGTATGTCCACTTCTGGAGGCACTGGGGGTACATTGGGGGTTGCAGTGCCCTCCAGGATTCTTTTCTCTTGGTGGGATCTGAGAAAAGGGAAGAGGGGGTCACATTCACCCAGCTGTCTCTACTTCGCTTCCTCCAGGACTTTTCCACACAGATCTGGGATGATGTGACTTGGCTCTTCCTCCATGACCCTTCCTCCATCTGCCTTTAAAAGGACTTCCCGAGGGAGGAGCCCAGAGGTGCTCCTCCATTTCCTTTTCCCATGAGGCGGGTACCAGCTTAATTATGTTAGAAATTTTAAAAAAATTGTTAACTGTGACTGGGTGCCCGTCTTTTGAATTACTGAAATTTTGTATCTTATTGAAATGGTCTGAATTGAGTTCTGTACAATATTGTTTGAAGAAACCTACGTGCACTGTCTCCTATGGAATATGTTTGATAGAGTTACATTCTTGAAGGAGATAACCGATATGAAGATGCAATCTGGAACCTTCATTGAATATATATTGAATGAATATTAGCATGTATACTTTTCTGTACAATGAATACTCAACACAAATGAATTGTTTATAATTTATAATTTATTGTGCACTTTATTTTTGTATTATACATTCATAGTTCAGCATTCTTCAACACAGTTCTCTCTACTGTATAACCCATTTACTGTGTGATGTTTGTTGTTGCTTGTGTTTTTGATTTTGACCATTTGCAAGGCAGCACCTGTAGAAAGCCTTGCTCAGATGAGCAAAGCTGTCATGGTGGAGCATAGCAGGAGAGGCAGTCCTATAGTTACAAGGGACCAAGGCCTTGTAGGGCTTTGCATTTAGTTATTTATTTATTCCCCGCCCTCCCCGCTGAAGCAGGCTCAGGGTATATGATAGCCAATACCTTAAAAAGAGTCTGATAACGGATGGGCAGCCAAAGGAGTGACTGTAGGATGGGAGTAATAAGCATGCTCCATCTAGTTCCCAGCAATAGCCAAGCTGTGGCATTCTGCACAAACGGAAACTCTGAGCTGATTTTGAGGGGAGACCACTGTAGAGTGCATTACAGTA